GGAAAGGAGAGTACTATATAAACTAATATTGTCAAAACGCTAGTTTTTTTTTTTTGGCATTATGTATAATATTAGTTAATTGGTCAAACATTTGATATATACCATGCAGTTGCTGTTAATTATTTTTCTGTAGGTATAATCAATACAAATGTCTTAAACTTATTTATAAAAAGGAAAGCATGTTATTGTAGACCTAAATGAAGATGTATCGGATGACATGTCACATGACATTGAAAATGATTAAAATGAGAACATGCAGCAAAAAATTATGGATGAGTTAAATCCAAAGAAGTTTTTGAAATGACGTTTGATTCAACGAAGAGGCAAGAGAATTTTATAATACCTATGGAAGATATGCGGGGCTTAGCATTCAAAAATATGACCTAAAGTATGACAAGAACCACATGCTAATTTCAAGAATGTGGGTTTGTTCGAGAGAAGGGTATCGGTCTGCAAAGAATGCGAACCACGTCGACCAAGTAAGGGAACCACAGGGTTTAACAAGGGTTGGATGCCTTGCAACATTCCGTGTGAAGTATGATAGAAAGACAGGAAAATGGGTTGTAATGGATTTTGTTAAGGAGCACAACCATCCATTGGTTCCACCACGTGGCGTGCCATTTCTCCAAACACATAGGGGTGTTAAGAGCCCTGACAAAGCACAAGCTATATCATTGCGTAATGTTGGTATACGAACAAGTCAGATTAGAAATTTCATGTTGCAACGATTGGGAGGATATCAAAATGTTGAATTTACCATAAAGGATTTGTACAATGATGTAGCATCTCAACGTAGAGAAGAAATAAGGGACGGTGATGCAGAGAGCACATTGGCATACTTGAGCGATGAGGAAGAGTTGGACCCGCTATTCAATTTCAAGTATAACATCATAGAAGACAATTCACTAAATTGTTTATTTTGGGCAGATTCGACATCTCGAATAGACTACAAGTGTTTTGGTGACGTCCTAACGTTTGATACTACATATCAAACGATTGTTTATAAGAAGCAATTTTTGATATTTGCAGTTGTCAATCACCACAATGCTACAACTATATTTGATTGTGCATTACTTTCAGATGAGATCGTGGAAACATATGTATGGGTGCTAGCTACTTTTCTTCATGCAATGGATAATAAGAAGTCGATCTCCGTTATTATAGATGGGGATAAAACAATGGTTGCTACAATAAAAATAATATTTTCACAAGCAACACACCTCTTATCTAGGTGGCATTTGGCTCGAAATGCTTTCACAAATATAAATTCTAAAAATTTTGTCCAAGCATTCAAGAGATGTATGTGCACTTGATATACACCAAAAGAATTTGAAGATTTATGGAAATCAATGGTTGAATCATTTGGATTGGAGACTAATAATTGGATTGCAGAAGTTTATGCAAGGAGATTCAAATGGGCAGAAGCATACTTGCGGGGGATTTTTTTGCTGGACAAACAAGCATGCAACGGTTGAAAGTATGAATGCATACCTAAATCGCTTCCTAAAAATACGCCAAAGACTGTTTGAGTTTGCTAGATAGTACGATAGGGGTTTAGCAAGAATTAAAGAGACCAAGGCCAATGAGGACTATGAGTCAGAACACTTCGAGCCAGTGCTCACAACAGCACTGAAATTGTAAACCCCCACATGCTTATGTGGATATAATGAATTCATTATGTATTAAAATGCTAAATTATGTAATGACGTGTGCATGACTAAGGTAGAATGTGAGAGTAGTAATAAAAAAAATGTTAGTTGAGGAAAGGGGATATGACGTCGAAAGTTGGAAGTTTGTCGGAATGAAATTGTATTTTTAGAGGTAATTTGAGTAAATGAAAGAGATTGTTCACCAAAAGAGCTTGTATCAACTAGGTTTAATGTACAAAAGTATGTTGTATGAGTTTGGGTTGAGATTGGAAAGATTTGGAATGGATTGGAAATGAAAAATAAAGGAAAAAGGTAAAACTGGGCAAACCGTACCGGTACGACTGAGTCCAGAGAGTTTACCGTACCAGTACAGCGTACCGGTACGCACAGGTCCAGAGAGTTTATCGTACCGGTACGTCATACCGGTACGCTCTGTAAGTTCCATAAATTTTAAGTCGCAATCTGTGAGTCATTTGTACCCTATAAATACATTAGGACGCCTCTTTGAGCCTCATTTCACGACTCCAAACCCTAGAAAACCTTAGAGAGGAAGAAAGGAAGAGAGAAACACAAGATTAAAGAGATTATGCAATTCAAGGAGGATCAAATCTTCTTCTTCTTCCCTCAAACCTAAGGAAGCAAGGTAGGGGATTTCCTTCCATCCTTGTCCATTGATGCTAGGGCCAATATATATGTAGATTTTGACTCCTCCTAGTATGTATTGGCTATGAGTATCTTGTTTCTTGGTCTTCTTGTAATTATTTACATGTTTTTAACAATGTAGGGTTAAATACCCATGAAATCTCTTTCCTCTTAGTTTAAAACCCTAGTTTTCAAGAGTAATGGATTTTCTTCTTGATTCTTCCTTGGTTATTGATTTCAAAATCCTAGTGCTTTGTGTTGAGTAATAAAATGATGTTGTGATGATCTCTTGCATATTTCTCTTAAATTGTTCTATTGGAATCATATATGTGAAAAATTGGAGATTTTCGGAACTTGCTTGTGATTTGTGAAAATTGGTTGGGATTGTATCTTTGGTATGGTGGTTTGGATGACCATGGGTGGGCAAGTTGGGCTTCCGCTGGTGCCACTTTGATATAAGGCCTTATCAGGAGGTTCCTTGTAAGGATGCCTGAGGAACAAAACCTTGAGGATGAGAGGTTCCTTGTAAAGATGCTTATGTCAAAGAGGATAATATAAGGCCTTCTCAAGAGCTTCCTTGTAAGGATGCCTGAGGAGCAAAACCTTGAGGGTGAGAGGTTCCTTGAAGGATGCTCATGCCGAAGAGGATAATATTGTATTAGAGGTGGGCCAGGATATTCTAAATGTGATAATTCATGTGATTACCATACATCATGCTTGAGATATAGAGATACATGTGTATATTGTTATAAAATGTTTAAGTTATGAGTTACTGTTTATTCTACCAGAAATGGTTTCTACAAAAATCTTGGGAAGTATAAGATTCCGCGAGAACTTGTGAGAAACACTTTATGGTGGAGCGGATTATTAATTGGATATTGAGTTCTTTTATTCATTAATTATTGTTGTACTTAAACTTGAGATCTGTTTCAAATGTCCATGTTTCCTTCAAAAATTATATATGCTATTTGTAAAATGAGACCAAACATTTTATATGCTTTTTTAAACCTTGTTCGAGTTTGGAAGGAATTTTGCTATAGAGCTTAGTGCTCACCCCCCTACAATTAACATTTTTCAGATTATGCCTTAGAGGAGGAGGTGGGAGTGACTGAACCGGCACACTGGGAGACTCCCATGGATGGGCATGTGGATCTCGAGACAGATGTTTAGGGCCATAGGATCTTTTGTATTATTTCCTAGAAAATTTCTTTTGAGGAAATAGGAAACCTAAATATTCTTTTGTAATTCTGCTACATTATAATGGTTAATTTTGAGATGTAAATGCCATGGTTCGGCACATTCTTTTGGGATATTGTTGTAATTATTATATGGAGAATGAATGAAGTTTTATTTAAGTGTGGATTATATTAGTGTTCTCATGATATGAATGGTTGTAAATTGTAATGCCATCCAGGATGGTTTTTGAGGCGTTACAGAAATGCTTAGAGGAGAAAGCCTCCAAGATATATACCAGAAAAATGTTCTTCAAAGTTCATGATCAATTGAAGAATGAAGCTCTATTTTTTGTAGTAGATAAAATTGAGACGTAACGCATCAAAGTTACTACTTGTCCTGGTTCACACAACTTGAATCTAGGTGGATTATTGAATATTATCTTGGCATTCATATGTTTAAATGTAATTGCATGAAATTTGATTCTGTTGCAATTCCCTATTCTCACATGATTGTCATCATGAAGTATGAGCACCTCAAAGAGTTCCGTCAAAGCAGTGTGACGAGAAGGTGGAAAATTGCAACAAAATCCGATTATCAAATAAATGATGTGTTGCATACATTGAGCACCTCATCAATTTCTAGAAGATATGTTGGAATCATGTCTATGTGCAGCAGAATGTGTTACTATGCTTCACAGTCAATGTCAAAAACAAACAATGTGAGAAATATGGTGCATTGGCAAACTTCTGCTCTACAAGCCCATCACGAGTCAATAGCCAGAAGTTGTGATGAGTCTCAAATATCCCATTTCAATATAAATGTGCAAAATGGAAAATTTAGCGTGGGTGACCCAAAAATTGTGAAGACTAAGGGAAATTCAGGATGGGTGTGTAAGAACATTTCAATTACCCCACGAAGGTGTAGTAAATGTAGGGGTATTAGACATACTGTTAGAAAATGTCTACTACTTACGCCCCATTTGAATGATTCATATGAAAACATGTCGTTTTCGAAGCTAGATGAATCACACCAACCACACAGTCTTCGTTATTTTTCTCATGCATCACAAGAACTAGTGCTCGAGATATCATTCTCACAGGCTGGTGGATCACAACAACCCTTGCCAACATATGAAGATGAAGACCATTGGACTCCTTTTTGAATGACACATGTATGTTCCCTATTCAACATGTTGTGTGCATCAACATGCATCAACAAACAACTGTATTGTACATTCATAGCATTATATATTACAAACATAACATCACCAAACATCATGACATCTACTTTAAAATTACATAGCATCAACAAAACACCATGACATCCACTTTGCATTTACATACCATCAACAAAACAACATGACATCCTCTTTCAATTTACATAGCATCAACAAAATTACATACTAAAATTTACAATCCAACAAATAAAAATTTATCTATAATCCAACAATTAAATTTAAGTACTACTATTTTTTTTTTGCATCAACAATTTAATCTCCAACTGCTTGAAAGACTCTTTGGTGTCTTCACAGAGCTACTTGAGAGACTCCTTCATGTCGTCATTGAGTTGTTTCAGAGGCTCTTTCGTGTCTTTACGGATTTTCTTGAGAGACTCCATATCTTGTTGACACTCCTTCATTTCTTTTTTCCACTCCTTCATTTCTTTTTGCCACTCCTCTTGGTTTGCCAAAATCTATTTAAGCATTTGTATAACCATATTGTTATCCCCTGCAGAAATACTTGCACCATCTGTCTCTAATAGATCTAGATCATATGAATTGGTCTATCCCAAACTCTTTTTTAATGTGCATTCATCAAATGGACTCATAGGAGATAAGCGTCAGTTGGGTGAATGACAACTCCACAATATCTCATGATCTTTGAAATTAAGATGGGGAATAGGAGACCTTTTCGCTTATCTTCGAGCCCAAATGCCCAAACAATTTCATTAAATATTACACAAGGGAGATCTATACTTACCCTCTTCCCAATGCCATAAAGGGGATGAGATCTATCAAGTCCAAAATCATAATTGTGTCCTCTGGGATTAATATTACATCCCACTATACAGTTTAAAACCATATAATTGGGAGTGAGGCATCTTTGATAAAATGTGTCTATTTTCACAATATTAGGTCTACAATAAAGTTCGGCGATAACATCCTCCACCTTTTATCATTGAGATTCTTGTATGAGTATGTAACCGTATTCTCACCTATGAAGGGTGAGGGAACTTGCAATATCTTTGAAATTAAATCTGAGTTCACTTCAAAATGTACATTCCTCATAGAAGATTTAAACTTGAGATATTCCTGCTCAATATCATTCATATTTGCATAAAATATCGTCACTAATATATCATAAGTTTTATTGTTTTTATCTATTTCAATTGTAGAATTCAAATGTTGAAAAGCAAAAATAACAACACAGTTCACATTTGTCATCTTATTTAGTTGAGCCCCACACTCTAGTAACACAAGCTTATGACAAAATCGACTGTGATAAAGCTCTTCACTAATTCTATTATAGAAACATGTATTTTGATTTGCTTGAGGATTTATTGGATTGGATGAACTTACCAAATTTGGAAGATGTGAGGAGGGATCAACATTTTTATTTTTATTTTTTGGATCAGAGGGATCAACTGACTTTGGACAAGTGGAGGAATGAACCACATTTGGAGGTTTTGGACAATTGGAGGGATCACCAACCTCAACCTGTTTATTCTTCATTTGTCCAATTCCACCATAACAAGTGTTATTCACTCTTGGCCGATACTTATGAGGTAATGCTTTTACAGTTTTCCCCCCAGCCTTCCTCTTCTTCTTTGTTTCCATCAAAAATTTTGTTGTGTGTATCTTCCTTGTTCTGATACATTATAAGAAAAAAAGGGACATACCCCCAATCAAACATAATAAATCTACACATATGGTATTCATACGTAAACGAGAAAATAAATATAGAACAGTTCACAGCCTCACACACGTACACACAGCAGACTCATCGAATACGCACGCTCGCATTAACAAAGACCACACATAGTCATATATTATAGAATAGATACAGTTATACACTTATTTACAGTTAGATTGAAGCTTTTTAGAGTTAGGGTTTGGTAATGATCAATTATCCGATCGACCAAAGGTTGGTTGGCAAGCGTAAATGCTTGAAATCGATCAAATTAGGGTTAGATTTGAAACCTTGAAATATTGATCCGATCGCTCTTGGTTGGCTGATTTGAATTCTTGAAATCGATCTTAGGGTTAGGTTCAAATGTTTGAAATCGATCTTGGCTGATGTGAACGCGTGAAATCGATCAAGGCTAGTTGAAGGACGGGAAGGCGTGAAATCGATTAAAATCAATTTAGAATGATGAAGTCTTCTTTACTTGAAGACGATTGAATTTTTCTTCTTTGATCAACTTGTAATTTTTAATTTTATACCAATTTGGTCTTAATTATTTTATAGCATTATTAAAATATGTTTTGATGAATAAATATTAATAGAAGATAAAAGTGTAATTTGGAAGGTTAAAAGTGTAATATCAAAGGATACAAGTGCATATCAAAAAGGATAAAAAGTGTAACATCACACCATGATCGGTCACCCATTCCAATAGCCGGTCTTAATTCATCTATAAATAAATTACACTTATGCCACTGAACTATAACAATGTTTTCATTTTGCACCCTCAACTACCAGATTTCCTATATTTCACCTTCAACTAGTATTTTTATTCCACATTACCTAATTAAAAACGTCTATTATCTTTTTTGGAGAGAAAACTACTAATATTAATAATTGGGTTAATAATTGAGACAATTTGAAACTAATCAAATAGTTGAGGGGATAAATGGAAAAATATTTTTATTGGTTCAATTTTTGGTTACAATTTTTTTCTCTAACATTTTTGCAAATTTTTTTGTGGGTTACAACTTTAATGGTAAGATTACAATTCTTTGAATGGGTGCACTTTTAATGGATTGGGGTACAACTTTAATTGTAGGATTATAACTCTTTTGGATGTGGGTACAACTTTATTGAGATTTGGTACAACTCTTTTGGATGGAGGTACAACTCTATTGAGATGTGGTACAACTTTTTTGGATGTAGGTAAAACTCTGTTGGGATGTAGTATAACGCTTTTGGATAGGGGTACAACTTTAATGGAGGGTTACAACTACTACAACAAAAATTATTTTTTGCGACGAAATTTTTTGCGACGTTTATATTTTTGTCGCAAAAATGAACTTTCCGCGACACTTTCATAATTTTCTCGCAAAAACTGATTTTGGCAAAATTGTTTGCGACGTTTTTTAAAAAACGTCGCAAAAAAGGTATTTCCCACTGAATTTTTTTTGGCGCAAGAAAAATGGGGGGAGTTGATATTTTTTCCGACAAAATTTGTTTGTCGCGGATAGTTTACTTCGTCATAAAAAAAATATTAAAAATTAACAATAAAAATAAACTCAAAATATTTAATTCGCGACGTTTAATATTATCATCGTCGAATATAAACTTTAATTAATATTAATTTGCGACGTTTTTAAATATTTTGTCGGGAATATGTATTTTTTCGCGACGTTTTTATAAATGCGTCGCAGAATATAATTTTTTTATTAAATAACATTATTATTTCGCGACATTTTAATATTTGTCGGAAATTAGAATTTAATTTTCAATTAGAATTAAAATATTAATTGCGACGTGTTTATTTTGCGTCGTAAAAAACTACATTTTCCGCGACAATTTCATATTTTTGTTGCAAATAGTGTATTTGGCAATTTTTTGCGACAATTTACAAAAACGTCGCGAAAAGGTGATTCGCACCAAATTTTTGGCACGTGAAAAGGGCTTCAATAGGTGTTTTTGCGCTACGTTTTCAGAAAGTCGTCGCAGAATATAATTTTTATTTTATATTAAATAAAATTATTAATAATTTTTAATTATAAATTATAAATTATAAATTATAATTAAAATATTAATCGTGACGTTTTGTGTTCGTTGCAAAAAATTAATTTTTCCGCGACGATTTTATATTGTTGTCACAAATAGTTTATTTGGCAATTTTTGCGACGTTTTTTAGAAAACGTCGCGAAAAGGTGATTCCCACCAAAAAAAAATTTTGCGTTAAAAAGATCAGAACCCGACGTTTTTATAAATTCGTCGCAGAATATAATTTTTATTTGATATTAAATAAAAATATAATTAATTTTAAATTTGAATTAAAATATTAATTGCAATGTTTTTAGAATTTGCGCGACGATTTTATATTTTTGTCGCAAATAGTTTATTTGGCAATTTTTTTCGACATTTTTAGAAAACGTCGCGAAATGGTGATTCCCACCAAAATTTATTTGCTCGAGAAAAGGGCGGGAGTTGAAAATTTTTTGCAATAATTTTTTTTTTGTCGTGAATAGTTTCAATTCGTCACAAAAAAAAAATATTGAATCAGAATCAAAATAAAGTCAAAATAATTAATTCCCAACGTTTAATATTATCGTCGCAGAATATATATTTTAATTACTATTAAATAGCAACGTTTTTTATTATGTTGGCGGGAATAGGTATTTTTTTGCGACATTTTTAAAAATTTGTCGCAGAATATAATTTACATTTTATATTAAATAAAATTATGATTTCTTGACGTTCTAATATTGGTGGCAAATTAGAATTTATTTTGTAATTTTAAATTAGAATTAGTATATTAATTGCGGCGTTTTTGTTTCATCGCAAAAAATGTACAATCCGAGACGATTTAATAATTGTGTCGCAAATAGTTATGTTGCAAATATTTTTGCGACGTTTTTAAAAAACGTTGCGAAAAGGTGATTCCCGAATAATTTTTTTTTGCGCGATAAATGGCGGGAATCGTTAATGTTTTACGAGAAAAGTTTTGTTTGGCTCATATAGTTTTTCTTCATCGCAAAAATAAATAAGGTAAAATTAAAATTAACATAAATTCAAAATATTTAATGCACGACTTTTTTCCGTCGCAAAATTGTCATTCTTTATCTCTTTTTTTGCACGAGCAATGACGAAAAATTGAAATTTTGTAGTTTGGTAAAAAAAAAAATTTCGCAAAAAAATATAATTATAAAATAAAATAAAAATATTAAATTGCGACATTTTTATTTTCGTCGCAGAATATAAATTACAACCACATTTAAAGGTAAAATAAAATAAAAATATTAAAGTACGACATTATGTTCGTCGCATAATATAATTTTAAAAAAAATTCAAAATGACGTCGTTTTGGACATTAAAAAAAAAAACTACGTACATAAATTGAAATCCATTGCCCATCTTTTTTTTTTTTCCCTTTTTCTCACTTTTCGAAATATCTCCCTTTGTGCTTATTTCAGTCGACACACACAGTACTGTCTATCTTTCTCTCTCTCTCTCTCTCTCATCCTCGCTATTCTCTTTGTTCCCCTCCCCCTGCTAATCGGAGTGTTTCTTGCCCTCACTCTTGAACTAAATCGTTTCTTTACCCTCACATTGTTGAGGTAAAGATCGCATTGAAAAATTACTAGGTGAGCTTTTGCATCTCCACATAAAAGTTCGGACTTTGTATGATTCTTGTGAGTCTCATATTTTATGTTAATTTAAACATATTAAATATTTGCAATGACTTGGTTAAGTTATTGGGATTAGTGGATTGGGGTGTCTAATTTCATGTTCCTAAACTATTACTCTGTGGATTTGAAAAACTGTTTTGTCTTGAGTGTCATTTTGGTAGATGTCGGCAGAGAAAATAAGGGGTTTTCCCTGAATTTTTTTTCTTCTATTTTTCACTTTTTTGTTTGGCAGATTGACCCAATCCCAAGTAAAAATCTGGCAGAGGTATTGGACAGGTTGTAGGAGGAAGAATTGTGAAAGGGACAGGTTTTGGTGATTTTCTATACTTATTGTATTCGAAATACATAAACGTGGCATAATGTGGAAAAAGGGAAAAAAGTAACGTTGGTCTGTCACAATATTTATAGGGAAAATATTTTGTGACGTAGAATGTTAATTTTAGTTATTAAAGTAAAAATAAAATAAAAATATTAATTAACAACGTTTTTTATAGGTTTGTCTATAATATTTATAAGTTTGTCGGGAATATTAAAAAATAAATAAAAATTTAATTTGTGACGTTTTTTATTTTCGTCGCAACATTTAAATTATAACCACATTTAAAGTTAAAATAAAATAAAAAAAACTTTAAATCGCGACGTTTTTATTTTTGTTGCCGAATATAATGTTTTAAAAAAACAAGGCATTTTTTGCCTTTTTTTGTTTAATTTTTTTCCTTTACCCAACTCTTTTTCCCTCTTTCCCCATCTTTCCCTCTTTTTTCCCCATCTTTCCCTCTTCGTTTTCAGTCAACACACACACACACACACTCTCTGCCTCTCTCTCCCTCTCCATCGATTGCACTCAAAGCCACACACACACACACTCTCTGCCTCTCACCTCCTCTCTCTCTACCTCTCCATTGACTGAACTAGAAACCACAAGCCAGTGAAGCCACAACACCATCGATCATCGCCGCCTCCATCGATTCAGTCCATGGTTGGTTACATCTCTCTTATCTATCTTTGTAACATGTACAACTTAGAATTTCTATCTTGTTTTCCCCCACAAATTCAGCTCTTATTGTATTTGGTTGGGTTGTAGTTGTAAAATTTATCGCAAATTTTAGTGGGCAGAAGCTTTTGTGTATTCGTTTTTAGTTTTTCCTTTATTTGTCTTTTGGTGACTTTGATGGGTATTGAGTAAACATTGGATCTTTGTTGTGTGAAGGGTGTTTGTTATACTTTTATCCTTTTTGGGGGTGATTTGCATTTCT